GCGACAGTTTCACAGATCGCAGCCCCCCAGGGACGGCGAGGTCCCATTTGAGTCCGCCGTGGGTACCCACTGCGCTGGGCCCCCCCAGCAGGCCTCGAAAGTGGCGGCAGGTTCACAGATCGCAGCCCCCCAGGGATGGCGAGGTACAATTTCAATCCGCCGTGTGTACCCACTGTGCTGGGCCCCCCAGCAGGCTCGAAAGTGGCGACAGTTCACAGATCGCAGCCCCCCAGGGATGGCGAGGTCCAATTTGAATCCGCCGTGTGTACCCACTGTGCTGGGCCCCCCAGCAGGCCTCGAAAGTGGCGACAGTTTCACAGATCGCAGCCCCCCCAGGGATGGCGAGGTCCCATTTGAATCTGCCGTGGGTGCCCACTGTGCTGGGCCCCCCCAACAGGCTTCGAAAGTGGCGACAGTTTCACAAATCGCAACCCCCCAGGGATGGCGAGGTCCCATGTGGTTCCTCCGTGGGTACCCACTGTGCTGGGCCCCCCCAGCAGGCCTCGAAAGTGGCGACAGTTTCACAAATCGCAGCCCCCCAGGGATGGCGAGGTCCCATTTGAGTCCGCCGTGGGTACCCACTGTGCTGAGCCCCCCCAGCAGGCTTCGAAAGTGGCGACAGTTTCACAAGTCGCAGCCCCCCAGGGACGGCGAGGTTCCATGTGAGTCCGCCGTGGGTACCCACTGTGCTGGGCCCCCCAGCAGGCCTCGAAAGTGGCGACAGTTTCACAGATCGCAGCCCCCCAGGGATGGCGAGGTCTAATTTGAATCCGCCGTGGGTACCCACTGTGCTGGGCCCCCCAGCAGGCCTCGAAAGTGGCGACAGTTTCACAGATCGCAGCCCCCCAGGGATGGCGAGGTCCCATTTGAGTCCGCCGTGGGTACCCACTGTGCTGGGCCCCCCAGCAGGCCTCGAAAGTGGCGACAGTTTCACAGATCGCAGCCCCCCAGCTGGCACGCAGCGACGAGCGAGGCGAAAGGCAAGGGGGAAGAGAGGGACGGGAGGGGGTGGGAAGGAGACGCGCGAGCAGTGCTCTATTCAAAACGAGAACCCAACGCAGGAGGGTTGGGAAAAATTGCCAAAGACCGCTCGTCGTGATTCCGACACGACGCGAGGGCGACTGGGTTTCTTGGATATGTTTTAAGGGTCATGCGATAACTCGGGTTGTCGCCGCCCCTCCTCCCTCCCGGAATAAGCTGACCTTGTCGATTGCGCAGGTCCGAAGGGGGTACGCAGTAGTGGTCCGCGAAGGCATACGTGGAGTTATCCAAAGAGAAATGTTGAAATGTTAGGTTATCGGTCAGCAGCTCCCTTCACACCCCACAAGATAACCCGGGTCATCGCCGAGAAATTAAAAACGGTCGCTAACTATCTCGTTGCCCCGTTGTCCTTTGGCCTCCCGTGTCCGCCGAGGTGAGATCGTGTGTTCCAGCTTGTCCCGTGGCCCCGACGCTGCGAGGCTCGGGCGATCAGAGCGCGCCCTCGTGACCCAGCGCGGTCTGCGGCCCAGTTCTCCCCCCCACCAGATAGCTTGGGCTATCGCCGAACAAAAACTACTCGAGCAGGGGATTGACGGCAGAATGGGTTTGCCCCAGCGTTGTTTGCCCTCTTCGAGTGTACAGTCCTCGCAGACCATTCACGTATGTTGCGCAGCTTCGGCGAGAAAAAACCAAGCTGGGGGTACATAAATCAATCCTGCAGTCGACCCCTTCCTCGAACTCTGGAGGACTCCGTCGGCCGCGCGGCGGCACGGGCGGGCAGTGCGCCGGTGCTCGAGGCGCTGCTGGCGCACGGCCTCGACGTGAACGCGGGGGCGGTGGCCGGGTCCCCGCTGATCGAGGCGGCGACGTACGGGCACCTGGCCTGCGTGCAGAGGTGGGCCCTCCCCCCCGTCCCCGCCCGCTCCGCCCTCCCTCTCGGAGCCACCTGGGGGTCTGAGGGGGCCCAGCGCCGGTGCTGGCCGGCGGGAGAGATTGGGGGGCAGGTTCGAGGTTCCGGGTTTGGTCCAGGCTTCCGTCTTTTGTTCGCCTCTCCGAGGTGCGTGTTCGGGCCCCAGGGCCGTGAAGACCAGATCCGGGGCGGGAAACTTTGTCAGAGGGACTCCGACACAGGCGCGGGGACCGATGTTGACCAGATTTGGCCTCGTCCCCCCTGCCTGCCTCCAACCTCCCTCCCTCCCTTCATCCCTCCCTGGTCCTCCTCCCTCCCCTCTCGTCCCCTCTCCTCCCCTGCTCCTGCTCCTCCTCCTCCTCCTCTCCCTCCTCCTCCTCCCTCCTCCCTCCCTCCTCCCTCCTCCCTTCTCCTCCTCCCTCCCCCTCCTCCTCCTCTCTCCTCCTCCCTCCTCTCCTCCTCCTCCTCCTCCTCCTCCTCCTCCTCCTCCTCCTCCTCCCCTCCTCCCTCTCCTCCCTTCTCCCTCCTCCTCCTCCCTCCTCCCTCCTCCTCCTCCTCCTCCTCCTCCTCCTCTCCTCCTCATCCTCCTCATCCTCATCCTCCCTCCTCCTCCTCCCTCCTCCTCCTCCCTCCTCCTCCTCCTCCTCTCCTCCTCCTCCTCCTCCTCCTACTGCTCCTCTCTCCTCCTTCTCCTGCTTCTCCTCCTCCTCCACCTCCTCTTTCACTCCTCCTCCCCCTCCTCCTCCTCCTCCTCCTCCTCCTCCTCCTCCTCCTCCTCCTCCTCCTCCTCCTCCTCTTCCGCCTCCTCCTCCTCTTCATTCGTGCCACCTGGCAGTGTTCACGCTTGTAAAATACATCCTGGCGACGTAACCAACCCTTGCGCAACATGAGGTCCGATCAATTGGATCGAGTTGTAAGGGGGATGACATGGCATGGACTGCCACGTATTGCGAACGTAACGTGGGAGGCTGCAACGCGGGAGCCTCACGGGACACCGATAGCCGATAGAAGGATTAGGGCATGATTCAGATAGTTGGATTTTTTGTTCCTCTTTGCGCTGTTGTGACAGCTACAGGGGGTCGACTGCCACCCCCCCCCCCGAATCGAAGACCTCCTCCTCCTCCTCCCTGCTCCTCCTCCTCCTCCTCCTCCCTCCTCCTCCCTGCTCCTCCTCCTCTTCCTCCTCCGCCTCCCTCCTCCGCCGTCACCGCTGCGCTAGGCCCCCAAGGAGCCCGCCAAAGTGGCGACAGTTTCGCTGACCGCAGCCCCCCAGGGATGGGGCCAAAGGAAGAGGAGGGCGACGACGAGGGATGGGAATAGGAAAGAGAGTGCGATGTTTCAAGGCACGCTGGCGGCCAGTTAGAGTGAATGCAATATCTGCGAGATGCCGCGCTGCGCTGCCAGCTACTCGGCCTGCCCCCGACACTTGTCAGCGCGGGAGGTACAGGCACGTGGGAGCGCCACCAGATCCGTGGGCGGCCCGCGAGAAAGGAGCTGCAGCCTTGGGTCCCACATCATCCATCGATTGCCTACCTTCGTGGCCTCGGAGGGCGCCACATAGAGATGCTGCCGCAGGCCGACGGGATCGTCCTCGTCCCTGCGCTGGGCGTCGATGATGGCTCTGCTGCGCATGCTCCACCCCTGACCGGCCTTGGAGGTCAGGACGTGGGCACGGGACCAGTTTGTCAGCTCGAGGCCCGCCGGGGCGGCGAGTTCCCGCTCTGATTTGCGTGGAACCGCAAGGAGCTGGACCCCCAGGGGCCCACGAAGATGGCGGCCGTTTCGTAGCTCGCAGCCCACAGGGACGACGAGGTCCCGCTCTGATCCTCGTAGCACAGCGCCAAGACAGACCCCCAGGCAGCCCACGAAAGTGCGGACAGTTATGCACTCCGCAACCCGCTGGGGCGGCGAGGTTCTTCTTCGATGTGCGCAGGATCGCACCACGTTAGATGGACCCCCCACGGAGCCCACGAAAGTGGCGACAGCTTCGCAGTTGCACCCCCCAGGTGGCCCGCCCAGATGCCCGCGAAAATGGCGACCGTTTCGCAGCTTGCAGCCCCCATGGACAGCGAGGTCCCGCCCTGCTCTGAGCAGCACCGCACCAGGGACCACAGAACTGGCGACGGTGTCGTAGTTCGCAGCCCGCAGGGACGGCCTGGTCGCTCTCTGACCCGCGTAGCACCACAATGGGCTAGACCCAGAAGAGCCCACAAAAGTAGGGACGGTTCCGCGGCCGCCGCCAACAGGAATGACGAGGTCCCGCTCTGATATCCGTAGCTCCGCAGTACAATCGCACCACCATAGTTCGGCCACGAGAGCGATGACAGCGTCCTAGATCGCAGCCCACCGCGAGGACCTCCCGGCAACCTGCAGAAGTGGCGACAAGCTCGCAGACCGCACCCCCTTTCCCAGGATGGGAAGATAGGAGGCAGGGCAAGATACAATTCGGAGGCAGGAAGGCAGAAACGAAGGGCAGCGGGAGGAGAGGAGAGAAGAATGAGACAGGCAGCGGAAGGAGGTGGGAGGCGAGAGGAAGAACGGAGACCACAGTGCTCTAGTCAAAAAGAGAGTCCAGCGCAGGAGGGGGTGGGGAAACATGCCCTTTGACGTACCCAACCCATGTGCACCAAGTGACAAGAGGGGGTGGTCCAAATTTGCATGGACAGCGATAGCCCAGGCGCCGTCACATTGCAAGCTACATGCGACGCGCGCATGCTCCACGACTAACAGGATAGCGATAGAAGGACGAGGAGTGAGGCACCAGTCTGGA